GACTTGAGTTCAACTTTGCCGGTATTTCGGCGGCAAGTAGAGGCATAATGATACAGTCGCAGGCATATGTGAACCAGGCTTTACCTGATAGTTTACTTTTCACCACAAAAGTGTTTACGATTCAAGTGTGTTTAATTTTGCTTTGTAGTTTTGTTAATGGCAGAACAATATTCTGTACCTTAAATTAATTCCAGTGTACTAGTACCTTGAAAAATTTAAAAATACTAGTACCTTAAAAAATTTCAAACTACTAGTACCTTGAAAAATTTCAAACTACTAGTAGTTTGAAAATGAATACTTAATCAGGCCCGCTGATCCCTGGGAGATTTCAAATCCTCCACCTGCTTTGAAGACAGTTTTCTTCCAGTTTCAAAACACTGATTAAACACATGGGCGTACCGGGGGGGGGGGGCAGCCCCCCCCCCCCAGTTTGTTGGGCAAACAAAGTCAGTCGGGCAATATTCGCTCCACAGTCGGGCAATATTGGCTTATTATAAAAATAAATGGGACAAATTCTGTCAATTTTGTGGGAAATTCCGTCAATTTTGTGGTCAATTTTGTGATGTGTTGAAAATTTGTATGTTCTGAAAAATTTTTGTATGTCCGAAAATTTTTTGGACCCCTAAAATGATACACTGACCGAAACGGGGGGGAGGTCGCCAAAATTAATTTGTTACGGAAAAAATTTTTTCGGCACTGGTCGGGCACAATCCGAAAAAGTCGGGCAAATTTCTTTCCGCCCCCCTAATTTTTTCCTTCCGGTACGCCCATGATTAAACATTAATTTCTTTTGTTTTCGGTTTATAAATTATTAATGAGTTTGAGAATACAATTTCTCTGTCTCTGAGCATGTTCAGCCAAACCACATGCAAACTAACAATTAAAAAAACTGAAAATAATTTTGAAGTCATCCTTCTTTTATAGCTTAGTGAAAATGTGCTAAGTTTTGTCTTTAGTTAAAATAAGGGGCCGATTACGTGGAGGTTTTCAGCCCGGGATGAAATTTCAGCCTGGCAAACGGGGATGAAATTTCAGCCCGGGGCCCCTATAAATTCAATATAATATGAATTTTACGATTACATGGAAAAAATTTCGAAGTGCAAACGAAATGCAAAATAAAGCCACTTAACTCATTAACGCCCAAGCTGTTACAATGTTTCTACCCCCCTAACGTCCAAGCAATATGGCGAATACGTGACTGAATTCAAGAGCTTTCACCAAAATGGCAATATCTCAGAAACAGTTGCATGAAAAAATCTGGTCTTTTCAACCAAATATTATTAATATATGATTGACCAAATTTAGTTTAAATGAACTTGCATACCTATATATATCATTAGTTTTTTCAATGAGAATTTTTATTTGTAAACCAGTGACACTATTTTTTCATGTCACTCATCACCTAAAGGGGCAATATCTCCATATATTTATATAAAAACAAAAAAAAAAGTTATTTACTAAATTAGTACATATCTATATTATAACCAGTTTTCATCTATTGGGATATGAATTAGAAAATGATCAAAAATTATAAAAATACTCCTTTGCTTTTTTGGGCAAGATGTTTACAACATGAAATTTAGAACAGTAACTAAGTGTTCAAATTCAACAAAGTGTGCAAGCCAAAACACAGTGCTTGTACATCTTTGGAGTTTTTAATTACCTCAAATATATTTAAAAGGACATACAGTACTAGAATCTATTTGTTTTCAGTATAAACCAAGGATGGGAAGGTGAGAAAATAGGAATTTTCTGAGGTGTTTTTAACACAGACAATGACAGCCGACATTTTCAAAGGCAAATTGCGGTGACAAAACCAAAAGTTATTCACTTCTCTACTCAAAGCACTGAAAAACACCATAAAGAGAAAAACATTTTAAACATACATCAGGTAAGCCTTTTAGCTCAATTTTCTCATGTTTCTGTTTGGAAAGAAACGGTTTTTAGCCAAAATTATTTTGCGCGCCAATGTAGGCTGCTATAAAATGTCAGACACGCGTTCTCTTTTGAAGTCTGGCTCTGAAAAACAATCGCTTTTTTTTAGTTTGAAATAAGCTTTCATAAGGACTAATTATGTAGAAATGTTATCTGTATGCTCAAATAAAAAAGATAACCTAATAGTCAGGTATTCAACATAGCTATAAAAGGGTGAAATAAGGACTTTCATCTTTGGTTGTTTGTCAGACATGAGAAACCACATTAGTGCCATTTTGTCGCGCGTGCTATTTTATAAAATAAACACCTCAAAACCATAAACTTTTAGTTCAGAAATTACAAAGTTTCCCATAGACATTATTAAAAATGTTCTAGTGAAACGATTTCATGATAAATAAGCGAGCAATGGGCCCGAAAGGACGGCTAAATTATGTTTTTGTTGGGACTTCAGTTTCATGGCTTCCCGCAAAGGAAGCCATTTCAGAGAGAAGCGACAACAACGGCAAACAACCGTCGCGACCAAATTTTGATAACTTTTCCTTCTGATTCAACATGTATTTACTAGAAAATGAGGTTGGATCAACATTACTATCTGCCTTATCGATTTAAAGTTTTATGGGGATATAAAACCCAATACAAAAAGCATTTTAAAAGCATTAGAACTCAAGTGCGGACTTTTTGAGAATTCGCACGCGGCAAGCAAACGCATTAATTCAATACACTTATTTCAAACCACAATATGTCTGAAACGAGCTGTCATTTTAAGACTAAATTGATGAAAATAGATATAACAGTGATTTTGGAGTACCCTACTTACTTAGTGTAATTTAATACTCGAAGTATTCTTGCCAAATAGGGCACGTACGCACACAGTAATTTAATCTGGTGTCGTTTGAAACATACTTTAGCTAAAATAACAAGTTGAACAAGAAGACCAACAATGGGGTTACGAAAACAGTCGAAATTGTGCCCAAATTTGCATAAACAGTTCGTCTAAAAAGATAACTTTAAACTAGATTCAACCAACATTAATGCAGTCGAATTTTGTGAGTGTTTGATCGCATATTTCTACTCAAAAATACCCTTTAAAAAATCGTATTTGCTCACTTGTGTTCCGTGTTCATCTTTCTTGTGATTTCCGACTTCTATTTTTAATAAAGTTTGGAGAAATCCTCATCTTTTTGGCTGAAAATCTCGCGCATGGTTCACAGAAGAACTTGGCCCCAAAACGTCAATACATTCGCTTTCCTTTTATGCCAAATTTTCGTTGTAGTTGATTCAAAAACCTCTTCTTTTCTTGCTTTTAAAACTTGCTGTAAAATCTTTCTTTGTAACAGAATAGCCATTATTCATTATGTTTGGAAAACTAAGGTTTTAAACTTGAAAAACTTTGCGAGTTTCTGACCGATTTTCTTGCATGATACACCGTTGAAAAGCTCGAATTTCACGTTCTATTTTCGTATCCGTTGCTAGGCAACACGATAAACACATGCTCAAATATCATGCCCACAAGTTAAGGTGTCATGTCAGGGCGCATTGTCCGTTACACACTTGTCAATGTCAGGCCGCATACGGGCACATTGGGCGTTAATGAGTTAAATTAAGCATAGTTTTTCATCCCATAATTTTTTTTAGGAAATAAGAATTTAATTTCTGCCAGGCATATTAGTTATTTTATGCATAATTAGCAATTTACCTGGGGTGGTGCATGGTCATTTTCTTGTAAAATATTATTCTTAGACAAATTTTTCCTTCCAATGACCACCCCTAAAAGCAACCCTTCTACACATTATAAGCACTTCAGAAAGGATATAGCTTTTCCTTTTCGGAAGTTAGAGCTTTCGCCCTGGATTCAGGTTTTGGCACCTATGCCATGTTGACCGCCATGGTCATTTTACCCTAAAACATTTGAGATTACCTGTAATCAGGGTTCGTGCTAGTCCTTAAATACTACTTGAATTAGTCCTGACTTTTCAAGGGCGCTTGAAAAGCCCTTGAAATTTACAGTTTTTAAAAAGCTCCTTGAATTCTTCAATGTTTTGCCAACCAGTAAGTGAAACAATAGTTCTAACTTTTGTAAGTTGCCACAGCTATTTCGTGATGTAAAAAGTGAAAAACCGATGTTAGATCATAAAGTATTGGTGGATACAAATTCGTCAACATTACACCAAGTATTTTGTTTGGGAGCTGCACTGGTCAACAAACCGTGGGCTTGTTCTGGGATCAATTTTTCCGCCATTTTCTGTGATTTTGTTTTTGTTTCGGCAAAAAATGAATTAAACATGCCCGCAGGAGGGAAATGGGCCATTCCATAAACTCAGGCTGCATTTACTAAATTCTAAGATTTATCTGTAGAAACTTATTTTCTACTGTTATGATAGCTGATATGTCTCAGATTTCAAGAATAATGCTCACGTTCACAGAACTTCATTTTCATAAGAAATATACAAGGTTAATCAAGATGATATTTGACAAGTCATAATTTTTATAAACCAAAATAATGAAATGCTGGTCCACATGGAACAAACAGTAAAATAAGTTGAAAATTTTTCAATTTAGAAAACAAAAATGTATTATTTATGTAAAATGTAGGAAAAGTTAGAATATTGATATCTTCAATCGCTTCGTTTAGCTGCGGACAAAAGAAATTGTCCGAAAGTTTCAGTCACACACGTCATAATTCGTTTTAGAAATATTTTCTAAAAAATGTTCAATAATTTTATATTAGTACATATTTTATTTTTTCTTTCGACTTAAGTCATTACCTTTAACTACAGTCATATTTAATCTTTAGTGCAAATAATTATACATTTTTTTCACTTTTTTGGTAAGTCACACACATCATAATTAGTGAAGTGTGTGACAATGACGTGTGTGACCAGGTGGTTTTTAGTTAGTTTTCCCTTCTAAAAAGGGCATGCAGGCATTTCAATGCTCCCTAAAATGCCAGTTGGCTGCACGTGCATGGATAGTGAAAAACTATAATTTATTAATTATTCGACAGTTATTCTATATTTGACTATATTTAACGGGAGGACAATATTCTTGTTCATAACCAATTTAATATGGTAAGTGCATATATGTACATATTTATAACATTAATTTAATTTATTCTGACCTGAGGCAATCTACAGCATGTTTTTATAGAGTTTTAATAGCAAGTCGATCAATTTTTAGAAAGAAAGTGATATGGAAAAGTTTGTCATATATAGCTAATGGCCAGATAAACAAAATTTCAAATATACATTGTCAGAATTGGCAAGCAAAGATATTATATAATAAATTTGAATCGTCACAGTCTGACTGTGACAGTCATCATGCTGTCAAAGTTTGAATCCACATAGCAATGCCAAACATTTATCCAACTACTGTTGAAATTTATTATCTGTTCGTACTTACGTGTATTGAACTTTTAACTCTCTTTAATAATCGCCAAATATTTCCTGAATTATATAAAATACGCTCAAAAACCATAGCTCTTGCTGATTTCTTAAAATTCAAATTTGCCATTTGCAGCGTTGCTATGCAACGAACGCCTGGGAGGCGTAAATATGGGCGTAAACGAGGGCGAGTTGTTTGGCGCAAAAATTAATTGAATTAATATCGTTTCCTGATTTTCAAAAAAGTTTTAGTTTAAATTTGTATTCAATAGATTTCTTGTCGTGCAATTTTCCTAAGAAATCAAACTTTTGGTTGCATCTTTAAAATCCCGATAATTTTGTAAAACAAAGTAAGAAACAATGTATATAAATATTGACAACCGTGCGGTATAGACACTAATTTTCGTTATAAAGTGCAAATTAGTGCCGATGTTGTTTTTTTTTGTTTTTTTTGGGGGGGGGGGTGAAAACAAAAATTTGGTGTCAAAATTTTTTTTCCGTACTATGCATGCTAAAAATGTATTCTCGCAAAACAAAACCTTAACATTTTTTTCCGGAAATTTCTACCTTCCCGCTTGCTATCTTTCCCAAATTTACCTATTTAGTTCTTTAATTGTTGTATTACGATTTACAAGAAAAACTACAGTATAACAGTAATAACTATAGTGCAAGGTTTAAAATATTTCTGCAGGACAACGAGTTAACTGTAACAGAAGATGCAAAATTAAGCAAAAATGAGAAAAGAAAGCTCTCTAATAGAAAAGCTGTCAAGAAATACAGAGCTAAGATGACCGCGACAGCGGTAGATTTTAAGAAGAAAGAAAGTAAACGAGTTGAAGCATGTAGGAAAAAGAGAGTGAACAATATGTCAGCTGAGGAAAAATCAGAATACAAAAGAAAGGCTGCCGAAAGGAAGAGAACATCGCGACAGAAAAAATCAGAAAATAGTACAGGCACATCCGCAAGTAGTCCACCTTCAACCAGTACTTCCACACCAACGTCAACTCCCCAAAATCCATACAAGCGTCCTCAGAGCTTTGGAAAGACAATTCGTAAGTCACTGAGATCCCTGCCTGCATCTCCAAACAAGAGACGATGCGTTGTAGAGGGTTTGGCAAAGCGTATTGGCCTTGCGTTAGACGAAGAGATGTGCGCAGCTGTGGGACCATGCGGAAGACCAGCAGTTTCCGATGATGTTGTGGCTTCAGTCACTCAATTCTTCTATCGCCCAGATATATCATATACCATGCCTGGAATGAAGGATGAAATGACGGTTTGGGAGCAAGGGCAGAAAACGAAATTGAGGAAATACTACTTGGTCTTGTTTTTGAGAGAAGCTTATCAGGTTTATATCGAATCTTTTGCTGGAGATGAGCATCATGTAAAGTTTAGCAAATTCTAAGAATTGAGACCGAAGAATGTCCTCCTCATGAAGCAGACTCCAGCTGATCAATGCAAGTGCAAAATACACGAGAATCTCTTTTTGAAGCTGAAATCTCTGAAATTACCTTATGCAACCTTCTGGGAAGATGTTCTATGCGATACCACATTGAATTCTCTTTGTTGGCAAGGGGAATGCCAGGAATGCGAAAATGGCAAGCTGATTAAGATGTCAATTGATCCAGGAACGATGATTCAGTTGCGGCAATGGGTCACATGTATTAAGGAAGTCGAAAAAAGAAACGGAACCGATTCAGACACAACAAATGATGTGGATGACAATGCAGCACCTTTGGCATCACATAACAAGACCTATAAAAAGTTGGAGTGTCAGTTGAAAGAAGAATGCGCAGGAGAAGTGCTACAACAACTCGTCAACGAGTGGAACATCATCCTAACTCACATCAACACAAAGCACATCCAAGCGCAAGAGTTCGAAAAGGATAAAAAGAGTGAAAACGCCAGAGTCCTCCAAATTGACTTTGCCATGAACTATTCATGCGAGTACCAGACTGAAATACAGTCAGCTTTATGGAGCAGAGCCAGCGTTACATTATTTACTGCAGCAGCAATAACCAAAGATTCGTGCCAAAGTTTTCTTATTTGTTCTGACACCAAAGATAAAGATAAAGATACTGTTGCTGCATTCCTCTTTGTCTTGTACGAAAACCATCCTTTCCCAAGCAACCAAGTTGATGAAGAGATCATATGGAGTGATGGCCCTACCTCAGAATTCAAAAATAAATTCGTAATGAAGCTCCTTCACCAATTGTCTTCACAGTTCCAGAAAAGGTTTTCATGGAAGTTCTCCGCTACGTCTCATGGAAAAGGAGTCGTTGATGGGATTGGTGGTCGGGCAAAATCGTTGGTTCGACAGAAGGTTATGAGTCAATCTTCAGAGCCCACAATTGTGCAGTCTCCAAAAGATTTTTCTCAAACTGCAAGAATCTTGATGCCAAAAACAACTGTGTTATACATCCCTGAGAGTGAGATTCAACGCGAGAAAGAAGCGAGAAAGTTGTGGAAAGAAAATCTCCCGGCAATACCTGGCATCACGAAAATGCATGTGGCAACTCATGATCCTAAGGCATCAAGTCTCCAGTTACGTAAGAATGCATTGAGTGCTGAAACCATTGATATAAGCTACCAATTGCAAGTGGATGACGTACCTGCAAGTGATGAAGAAGAGGTAAACATCACTGTTGGTGATTGGGTTTTGGTGACGTATGACGGTGACGGGCAGTCCTATCCTGGAGAAGTGACTTACACAGACCCGAAACAGCTACGAGTAAACGTCATGCAGAAATCAGGAAGCCATTACAAGTGGCCTCGCACTAAAGATAATATCTTTTACCGATACGAAAATGTCGTCCAGAAACTTTCAGCCCCTGTCGTTGCTGGAAATCGAGGACAATTTACCTTTGAAGAATTGACGCTAACTCATCTTGAGTAAGATCGTGGTTATATGTAACAATTCCTGGTTTTAAGCTACTAAACTGATCACTGTTTGTGAAATGGTCTTTATTTGAAGTTTATTTATTCTAATGTTATGCATATATTGAAACTATAGCCTTCTAAAATGAATTTTCTATTAAATATTAGCAAAGTTAGTATTGCGTTTCACACAAGTCACACACGTCATAATTTGTGTCACACACATCACTTTGTGTTTAAGTCGGACTGTGTCTTGGTAAAGTGTGTTTCAGAAAAAAATATTTCTTTTGTGTGATCTACCATTGCTACTTGTTTCATGCTATATGCAACCCGATCATGAAAATAAGTAACTTCACAGAAATCTTTTTCTCATATATAAAGGCGGGATTATGTATTTTCTCTGAGTCACACACGTCATCATCTAAATATCCCCTGAAACGTATTTTAAACACTAATACATAATCTAAGTTTCGTTGTTGTAGCTTACATGTATGTAGTATATACATATAAGCAAACAAAATTAATTAACCTGTTAATATTAGTTGGGAAATAATTAACTTTTGTTCTCTGGATGTCACACACGTAATTATGGAATTGGCCAAATGCGTCTTTAATTCCGACTGGCTTACCGATAACACCAACAAAGGATGGTTACAACGTGTAAAGGATTACAAACATGCAGCTTTTTGCAAGCTTTGCTGTAAAAATTTCAGTATTTCGAGCATGTGAAAGTCAGCGTTAAAGTCTCACATGGATGGAGCGATGCATAAAAAAATGTTAATACGACTTTGGCGACAACTCCTTTCACCACATATTTTATTGCAACGAACAACCAGCAAGCAACCAGCAGTAGTGCGACTGGATCTTTTTCGGCGACACCTACGAATTCAAATTCAAGCACGGGTGGTAGTGGAACTGGAAGTCGTAGCGAAGCCAACGTTAGTCAAACAAGTGGTAGTAGTAGCACTGCTCAGTCTTCAGGTCTGCACCATCTTTCAACCCTCGGTAAAAAGGTCACTGATGCAGAAATTTTGTGGACATTGAAAAGTGTCCATTCACATTTTTCCACGCATGCAAACATGGGTATGAATGATTTATTCCAACATATGTTTACTGATAGTGAAATTGCTCAAGCATATTCACTGAGCGAGTCAAAATTTAGATACATGACAACATTTGGACTTGGTCCGTATTTTTCCAAGAAACTTGTGGAAGACATAAACAAATCCACCGCCCATTCTGTTTTATTCGATGAGTCCCTTAATGAACATCTCCAGAATAAACAACTTGATGTTTATGTACGCTATTGGTCTGATGAAAGCTGGAAGGTAGATTCTTGATATCTTACGTCACTATTCATAGGACATGGTAGAGCTGCTGACCTACTCAATCACTATGAAGATGCTACCAAAGATCTTGGAGCCAAACAAGACCTGGCACGTTGGTATGGATGGTCCTAATGTAAACCTTGCATTTGAAAGAGAGTTAAAGAAATCTTGTGAAGAGATAGGCCTACCACCCTTGTTGTCGCTGGGAACATGTGGATTGCACACTGTTCACAGGGCATTTCAGACTGAAAAATTAATTCAGAAGTACAAAGAAAAATCCTGTCTTTGGGATGTCTTAGAAGACTACCACAACATTGAAAAAACCTCAAAAGCCAAGCAGGGATTGTCGGTACGTAAAAAAATGCCGAATGTACTCACAATAGTTTATCTATCACATTATATTCATTATTTATCTCATCTTGCACAGGAAGCTCTTGGTCTATCATGGAAGGAATTCCAGTTGCAAATGAGATGTTTGGGTCAAAACTTGAAGAAAAAAACCCATTGGAAATCAGGGCAATGGAGAGATGAGCACTTTACCCCAAAATGGATGTTTTGGGAACAGCTTCAATTTCTCATACCTACCATGGAAGCAAGGCAAAGTCCGGACACTTTTAAATTAAGGTTGATAATGACAGTAATCCGAACAACTTTGCAGAACCAGTTTGTACTAGTGCAATAAACCGAAAATGCCAAATAGAGAAATCAATCAAGATTCAATTGATGACCACTCTCAAACTAATTAACTTTATGTGAAGGTTGGTAATAAGATACAAGAACATTTGGAAAACAGGGTAGATTTCTGAAAGAGAGACAATATAAACAGTTTCCCTTGTTGCTATAATATATTGATCAACCACATGTGCCACCGTGCTATGAAAATGTCAAGCAGCACTATCTTATTGCACAAGACCCACGAAACAACTTTCCTGTTGATCTAAGTATGCTTTGATGTTATCTCCTCATCAGCAACTGACATCCTTCTTTCTCAATGGAAGAACCTCTTGCTTGCATTATTTCAATAGATGCCCCTTTACTGAACAAAGGAAGCACAAACCAGCATGCTTCATTCAGTCAATGCGCTCTCTTGTAAAGTGTTATGAAAAAAGGCTTTACATTCTGACAATTCATGACCATCAGCATCATGGAACGGACAGTGCTTTGCAGTCTTTTCACTTTCTTTCTCAGTCATGGTGTTTCCCATGTATGACTTTACATGGTCTTCCTGACTCCTGCCGTTTCTTCTGTCAATTATGTTAGCATGATTCTCAGCAGATCTTGTTTCTTAATGAAAGAGGCAAATTTGTTGAGATCAGGGTATTCGTCCTTGTTCTTTGACACATAATCAACAACTCTTTGTCCCATGTGGAGGAGATGAATGCAGGTAGATTTCTAAACATGGGGTGTAACACATTAGGGTAGTTCAGACAGGCTAAGCCTGGCAATTCAACCATTGGTGACGTCAGCACATAAATCTGAAAATACGTGAAGCTTCTTTCATTCATGATCCTCAAATCTTGCAGATTGTCTTAGGCGTCTTAACAACTCATTTGTTATTGTTGTGATGTTACCAAACCGAGGATTCTAGTTCGTCCCAGAGACCTTTTAGAAGTTTCTTGGCATTGGAGGAATGTCATCTCCAAAAGCTATCAACACGTTTTAGGGGCTCCTCGGACGTGTATATACTCAAATAGTTCATTTCGTGTTCTGGAGACAAATGGCAATCACAAACATTCCTTGAAACGAACCACAGGTAGAACATGGTCACATCTCCATTGTACATGTCGGGATGACATTTTGGAAGATTTATTTTCGCCAAGCTCTCTCACTTAGGTCTCATTAATTCTTGTAAGATCACATACACAGCGTCCGCTGGCATCATCAGAAGGATGAATAGTTTGCTCCTTACCAACTTCTCCAGGTTGGAGAAGTGTCTCCAAGTGTTACCCAACTTCTCCAGGTTGGTCATGCGAGTGTCCTCTAGAACCACCCTGCTGACTGATTACCCATGGCTTTGTCTGGTCTTGACTACAGACGTTTTTGCAATCTCTTGTAATATCCATATCGTTTCCTACACCAGTCTTGGAAGCAATTTCCTCTCCATCCAACATTTGCTCGATAGCCTTCTGTTTTGCTTCAGCAGTTGCTGCTTTTATCATGTTTTGCGTTCGCCTCTGCATACCTCTCTTCGACCGCTTCTCTCTTCGACCGATTTTTGTTTTCTTTCTTTCTCAGCAATGAGAATATCAAACTGAGCTTCCTTGCCCTCTGACGTTCAGCTGACGATGAAGCTTTCAAGAATGATCTGACCGCCTTGATGGCACCTTGGAAGTTACCAATTGCCTTTCTTGCTGGGAATGAAAGAGTTTAGCTTGGCAGACGCTTTGAGAATTTTCGATTTGATTCAATCACCTTATTTCGATTCGATTCCATCATCATACTTTCAACCAACAGATTCCACTGTTTGTTTTACTTCATCTGACTCCCCCCACTTATCTTCAAGGAATAAGTTATTCAACTCATTAATGATTTTACCATAGCTTTCTTTTGAACTTTCCAGTATCAGGGCCACCTACTCTAATTCTACTGGATTATTAAATGATTCATTTACACCTTTCATTCTTTCCTGTACCTCTTTTGTAAGTTTATTTATTAAAGGTGAATGTAGTGTCCACCAATGTGTTCTCAAATTTCTTCCTGCTCGGTGCCCTTGAACATATTGAACATGCATTGCTTCTATCAACTCCTGACCATTTATTTATCGTGAAAAGCTGAAAAGATACAATTACAATTGTTTACAGATTACAAGTATACATTAGAAACATTGGAAAACATCAAACAAATTACATTGCTAAAGATTTTGTGCTTGTCCTGCCTCGAAGAGTTCTTGTTCAATTCTTGTTCAATCTGCATGAGTTTGAAATGGCGGACAGCCACACATTTATAGGACTGAATAAATTAACTAATTGATTATGCAACATTGATGTTCTTTTTTATTGTGGTTCTATTCAAAATTATCTGTTGAGCAATAATATTCTTGACCAAACCTCAATTACCAACCGGTATTTTTACTATTTTACTTGCTGAAATTCTAATATTATTAACCTGTGTGCAACTAATATTTACAGCCTTGCAGGCTGATATCCTGTGTATAATCTAGCTACACAGTGTCCACAATTGCACCACTCTGGGACATTGTCAACTTGTTCCCGGCCTGGTTGAGGTGGTGCATTCGCACCTGGCAATTCGCCATTCACCAAATCAGCAAATGCTGCTGGCTGATGCAGAAGAAGCTCTAAGGCAAATTGCTCTTAGGGCATCCACTGCTTGGACCATATATTTTTGTTTTTGTAACACTTATTTTATGTATTTTATCAATTGATTAAATAATAATAATAATTTTTTAAACCTTTGCAAAACACTTACATACCCTGACCCATATAGTCATACATTTATGAGTCAAGACTTAAATTTTTACCTAACTATACTTAATATATCAAATAAGGCAACAGTTCTCTGAATAAAGCAGGTCTGTTATCTACACTGTCACACATTAGTAGCTAATAGAAGTTGAGCTTTTCAGGGCAAGACCAGTTCTTATTTCTTTTACAAAATATGTAGAGAGTGGCACGAAATACAACCTCCATACATTTTATTATTATAAGATTGTCTTGCAAATTTAACAACCTACATAGCCTACGAAATTGGCATATATTCTTTGTGACGAAGCCTAGAGTAGTGACTTCCGGAGTTATAACTTTAAATCTATCACACAGTATGAGTAACTGTGATCGCAATACCTGATATTTTTCTTGTTTACGTCGTCTTGCAATTATGCAGTTCATTCCATATGGGACAGTCAATTCAATCACATACAAGTCTCTTTTATAATGAATCGTAATATCTGGCCTTAACGCTTGAAACAGATTGGACGTGCAACCTCTGCAACTGATGTTTTTTAAGTAACTGAGCAACCTGAGGTTGTAATACTTGATCAACCTGCAGTTGTCGAATAAAGATCAGATGATGCTGTTGTGGGCTGTGAACACGATTATCAAGATCAATTTAGAGATCTGTATGTACACTGTATAATACAGGCATGATGCTAGTGTTTTCATTTTTAAGCCTCTCCACTATCTTTTGGAGAAACAATTCCATTTACAGAACATTGACAGATGGCACTTGAAGATACGATAATGGAAATGTATGAAACATTAATATATGTAACGCTTCTCTATTAAATGTTTGCAGAGCAGCACTTATAAATGCAATTTCAGAAAGTATAAAATCCACATTAATATTTTAAATAACTGGGAAATATCGTTGTCTGCTACTTATTGTGTATTAGATGATAAGAACCATGATTTTAGAAGGGGATATTATTAATGGTTATTAACGCTCGTTCTCTAGCAAAACCTGATGCTGCTGTCTCCCTAAATGTTGAGTTGTGCACTAATAACATTGATATTTGTTTTGTTACTGAGACATGGTTAAATGACAAAATTCCGTCAAGCCTGGTGTGTCTTGGCAATTATGTTCTTGTCAGAAAAGACCGGTGTGACTCGCGGTCGGGGGGTGGAGTAGGCTATTCTGTGTAGAGACAACTGGAAAGTTAAAAATCTTGATTGTGTTTGGTGTGAAATTGTAACACTTAATACCAAATACTATGTGGCTTCAGTATATCACCCACCTGACCCCATGTATTTTTAACCAACTGTCCACATCTTTGGGAAAAATCAAAGGTTTTTAAAGGTCTAGTAAGATCTGACCATTTGGTTGTCATGGTTTCTCTGCAACATGCTATAAAACCTGAAAGAAAAGATGTCTACTCTAGAGACGTAAGAGCTCATTGTGGAAGTTCAGTACGATGAGGAAATTGGAGACATGTGATTGGAGTCACATTCATAATTGCAATAATGTCAATGATACAGTTACTCTATTAAATGACACTATCACTAACATGTTTAATGACTGTTTCCCGTTAATTAAAGTTAAAATGTCAACACGTGACCCACCATATATGTTTCTTTTGGTCAAACACTTATGTAAGATAAGCAATAAGAATATAGCGAAGGGAGTCAACAATGATCTTCAAAAACGTATTGATGAGCTAATTTGTAGAAATCTTATTCGTTCCGTTGATGATGAGAATAGAAAAAATAGTTTTGGATCCAAAAAGTGGTGGGATACTGTGAATAGAATTACTGGCAGAAAAAGCAAGAACAGCAATATTAGCTCAGTCATCGATCCACAACATATTAACTCGTACTTTCAAAATGTAAACACGGATGCGAATTATATATCCCCCCAACTCATACCAATTCCTGTAGGCACTCGAGTTCCTACCATTGATGAGCCTACTGTTATAAGTTTTTTTTGCGAAACTAAAACTAACAGCGCCAGGTCCTGATGGGCTTCCATATTGGTTATAGAAAGACTTTGCACAACTTTTAGCGCCCATAATTACCAAAGTGTTCAATCTATCAATCGAACAACAATGTGTCCCTCTGATGTGGAAGCTCGTCAATGTGAACCCTTTACCCAAAGAATCTCCTTTAACAGAGTGTAATCAGTTGAGGCCTATATCGCTCACAAACATCATTATGAGATTATTTGAAAGGGTAGTTTATAAACAGGAGATTGCGTCTGCATTCAAATCAGTGATCGGACCGCAAACAAATTAACTGTGAACAATAGTAAAACCGAATATATGATAATTGGTTCCAAGAAAAGGCTTAGTCAAGTGACTGCCGATCCTGAAATTAAGAGAGTTGAAATGACAAAATCATTGGGCCTAATGATAGACGAGTCTTTAGACTGGCCCGCACAGGGATAGTCTAAATGGCGCGGGTCGCGAGTCAATAGATCATGGCGCGGGTCCAGCGAAAATGGCGCGGGTCCAGCGAAAATGGCGCGGGTAACAAGTTCCGAGGCGCGAGTAAAAAGTTCCGAGGCGCGGGTAACAAGTTCCGAGATCAATTACCCGGTACTAAATATATTCAAGATGGCGGCTATTTTGACTAAAAATTCTGCAATTATTCGGTCAAATATCGTCTCTTTCTGTGGAAACTCTGCGACCTTCAAACTTAAACTAACAGACATCAATTAACTTAAGCAAATCACGTTTGAAGGCGTTATATTCTGCATATTTTTAAACGCAAAGAGAGTGAACAGTTGGAATGTTTGGATGGAGTCTGTCACTGTCAGTATTCAGTATATTTAATAATTTTATTAATTTATATACTGTAAATACTAATCTGTTAAATAAGGTAAAAAGATAATTAATCAAAATTCTCTATGCAATTTTGGTTAGAAAACCCCCACAATATTCTAAGCCCCACAATATTTTGCGGCTTAAAAATTATAGTATTTATACCAGTTAACCAGTAATCAGTATTTAATAATTTATGAATTGCCTGATTCATATACTGTATGACATTTTTAATAATTTAATTATATGATCAGTTTGACATAATTCTGAATGCATTATGCGTGAATCAATTCCTTCTGTTACCATCCTCCCCCCGGGCAACCCCCGGGACAATGCAAAAAAACTAATCCCGGGGGTAGGGAATTGTTTGAATAATTTTGTCCCGGGGGTTACCCCCGGGTAAAAAGCAAAGAACCAAACAAAAAATGCCAGAGGTCAACCTAATAAGTCAATCTCATACTTAGGACTTTGTTTGGTTGCACATCAAAATGGTGGCTATAAACTCTTTTGCTTATAAACTCGATGCATTAGTGTTAATTTGAGCTTGTATTTTGAGTTTAAGTTTAAGTTTGAAGCTCGCAGAGTTTCCACAGAAAGAGACGATATTTGACCGAATAATTGCAGAATTTTTAGTCAAAATAGCCGCCATCTTGAATATATTTAGTACCGGGTAATTGATCTCGGAACTTGTTACCCGCGCCTCGGAACTTTTTACTCGCGCCTCGGAACTTGTTACCCGCGCCATGTTCGCTGGACCCGCGCCATTTTCGCTGGACCCGCGCCATGATCTATTGACTCGCGACCCGCGCCATTTAGACTATCCCGCCCGCGCAGGTCGAACACATTTCAAAAAAGGTCACTTCAGGCCTTGCTATTCTCAGACGACTCCGGGATACAGTCGAATTCAATACCTTAATAACAATATACCAATCCATAATTCAACCTTATTTCGATTACTGTGCTCAAGTGTGGGGTTGCTTAGGGAAAACATTAGCAGCTAAAGTCCAAAAATTACAAAACAGAGCGTTTCGAATAATCACTCGTGAGAATTATACGACACGATCGGCTGATATATTAAACAAGCTAAAAGTTCGGAACCTCGAAAAAAGAAGAATGCAACAACTTTCAATTCTCGTGTACAAGGTGAAAAACAAATTGGTCCCCGATTACTTGTGTGATATGTTCACAAATGTTGGTGATGTACACGACCATAACACAAGACAGTCGGGAGCCGATTTGACATTGCCTAAACCAAAAACAAATAGTATGAAAAATGCATTCTCCCACAGAGGTGCGGAAGTCTGGAACTGCCTTCCTGCATCGGTAAAAGCATCAACAACTATTGCTAATTTTAAATCTAACTTGAAGCATGCAAATTAACATCAAGTGATCCTGCCATTGTTTCCATCTACCTAAAATAATTTTCTTGTAATTATTTCTTATTTCTGTTTGTGTGAGCACGGCCGGTTGGAAGATCACTTTTTTTTCTTTTTATATCTTGTACATAATTAATTTTAGTATAGGTGAAATTGTACCGTGTTGAAATATAGTTAATAATAATAATAATAATAATAATAATAATAATAATAATAATAATAATCAATTTGCTTATAAAGAGGGAACAAATACTGCCGATGCTCTGATTATGTGTTTGCATCATTGGCTCAAGTGGCTGGATGAAGGTGCAGACTCTGTTAGGGTAATATCGTTTGACTATAAGAAAGCGTTTGACTCGGTATCTCATAACATTATTTGTGAAAAATTGAAAACACTCGAAATTAACCCGTATACTATAAACTGGATTATTAGTTTTCTGGCCAAAAGAAAACAAACAGTTGTTGTTGATGGCATAGAAACTGTTTATGTTGATATTAACAAAGGCGTACCGCAGGGTACGGTTTTGGATCCCTTTCTATTTTCGTTGATGGTTAATGATATAAAACCCATGGATGCGCAAAATAACCTATTGGTTAAATTTGCTGATGATATAACGACAAGTGCTCCAGTAAAATCAGGATGGGATTCTGCTGAGGCTGAGGTGGAAAGCATTCAAAATTGGTCGGAAGCAACTCAAATAACATTAAATCTTTCTAAAACGTGGGAAATGGTTGTGCACGGTGGGTCTATGAAACCGTTACCGGCACCGATTGTAGGCATTGAACGAAAGAGCTGGTTGAAATTATTAGGTGTCACATTTCAGGAAAATCGGCCATGTTGCTGGGATTTTCATATCGATGATCTTCTGTCGAAGGCTAGTGGGCGTATGTACATATTGAGAGTGTGTAGATGCTATGGTTACTCTGCAGATCAGCTAAGCAAATTATTCAATTCGCTAATCATGTCACTCTTTTACTATTGCATTGAAGTGTGGGGTTCTGCACTCCAAAAGAAATATTTGGATCGTATAGACAAGTTTTTCCGGCGGGCTTATCGTTATTGATATACGACAAAGAGTATTAAGATATCTGAAGTGATCGAGGAGAGAGACAGAAAATTATTTAGTAAAATCGTATCGAATCCAGAACATGCCCTACATGAATTGCTTCCTGTGTGTAAACAAAGTATTTTAAGACAAAGGGAACATAACTTTATTTTACCTCAAATTAAAACGGAACGATTTAAACGATCCTTCATAAATAGATCTCTTTTCAAATATTTTTAACTTTCATATAATTAATTAGGATCGATCAATTTTTTAACTGTAATAAATAGGAATTTGATATTTGTAAAGTTGCACGTCTGTTGTGACTCTAGACAATAAAGACTTTAATAATAATAAATAATAATAATAAAATCATAAAGAGTTGCTTCAAATGCAAAAAGTTGCCAAAAAGTTGCCGAGCATAATCTGTAGAAGCCTAACCTTCAGAGCTAATGGACGTCAATGGGCGCCATCTAATTGGCTTCACTTCATGGGCCGAATGACTGATGTTCTTGCTCCAGGCCCTCCAGATATATAGACAGCTCATTGTACTAGCGAAGTAATAACGTAAGATCAATAAGATGACGTGCGCAAACAGATTCGCGCGCACGAAAATTTTTTCGTCTTTCGCTACTAAACTTGCCTCTAATTTTCATTCCTTTAGCACGGAATAAAAGTATTGATGCCCAAGCACAATGGTCAATACGGTTAAAATATCATGGCATGGCATGCAAAAACGGAGAAGATTTCCACTGTCCGTGCATGCGTAAGGTTTCCTATGAAATTGGAACCATAATTTTATCCAAATGGTTTCAAGCGAAAGTTACATTAATAAAATAGATTTGTACTGTGACACTCTGACAGAAATGATGTTCAAGGCACACCAGCAAACATCACAGCTGTGCTACATTTCAGCCAAATTGTGAACTGCGAAGTATATTTGTCGAAGCTTACGTCGAAGCTTACTTCGACAGCGTCGTAAAAATATCCTTCCTGGTATGTGTATTAATTTTAACTTGTTTTGTGCGTTTGTTTATATGAGTTTTCATGTTTGTTGTTTTTGCTTGTTTTGTTAAAATATATTTTGCCCGGTCAGGCTTCGCTACTGAACCGAATTTCGCCGAAGCTAAGCTAAACTAAACTGTAAAATTACAACACGACAACCAATCAATTCTGATTTTCGTTCTTACATAAAAACAATATCAAGAAAAACGAAAACAACGAAACCATCAAATGTGCCTGGTATAAATGTCCAGGTAAATATTTTAAATTTTTAGTTTATGTCACTAGCTGTTGTTTGAAATGTATTAAATACTTAATTCTGACGAAAACTGAGAGAATTTAACTATTTTAGTTCCAAAGAAAAGACGCATGGTTGATTAAATTCCGCCTTTCGAAATATTTTTCTAGGGCAATTTTTCCATGTCACCAACATCATGAAAGATTTTGGTAATCCATTCTTCATACACACCGCTATTGTTGCTGTGTCAATAACAATCTTTGATATGCTTCTCTTTGGAAGATTTTTAAAAAGATTTTATTGATTTGTTTATTTTTCTCTGGTTTCTCTTTATTTTCATTGTCTGTTTGCATCGTTATTTGCATTACACATTTATTCTTCCTAGCTAGAATTCCTTCCTCTCTCTCCATTCCTTCCTTCTTCCCCTTCCCCACTCCCTGTGTCCCTTCATTTTTCCTTTTCCTCCTCCACTCTCCTTCTATCCCTTCCTTCTGCTCTCCCCCCTTCCTGCCGCATTCTTTCTTTTCCCTCTTCCTCCCTTCTTCATCTGGAATTCCCTTCCTTCATTTCTTCCTCCCCGCGTCTCTTTTTTCCTATCTGATACCCCTTTCTATCCCATCTTTCCTTCTCCATTTCTACAATGTTCCTTCCTCTACCTCTCCTCATAACTCCAATTCATCCTTCCGCCCTCCTTCCCTTAATTGTTCCCCCGTCCCTACTCCCTTCCCTTCCTCCGTGGTCCCCTCCCCACATGTAATTCTAACCTAACATATTTTCAACTCCAATTGCAGTCAGTGTAAAAGAATAAAGAACCAAAAGCCAAACTCCAGCGAAGCTTCAGCTTGGACAGAAGTCTCCGAAAATGTCGAAATATAACCATATTGGGTCGCAGTGGTCTAAGTAGACAGTGTTATAGCCAGGGTCTAACCTTTGATGGTGTCTAAACGTTTATGGAATTTGGAGTGCTAGCGCCAAAGGCGCGAGGAATCTAGGGGGTCCGGGGGCACGGTCCACCGGGAAAATAGAACGCTATTTCACGTATTTTAGGACGAGGTTTGAAGAAATGCGAGGGTGTAAATTTTCGATTCGAAGTGCTTGTGCCAACGAATGGACGATCGGAAGTCGTTTGGCTTTATCATGTATTATGTATACTAGTAGCGGCCGCAGTCATCGAGTGCAAAGTGTCTATTAGAGTCTCTATCAAAGAAAATATTAGTCCAGCAAAAGAGGACCAAAAGGAGAACACTATCAAATATAAAGTAAATTTCATTTTAAAATATGTAATTATATGACATATTTTTACTTAATATACATTACTATGCCGATCCTTGCAAAATTGGGCCGCCTGTGGAGAATCCAGATATTTGATGATCATGTAAAACAACACTACAAATCCACAATATACTTCTAAAATGCGATTTGTTTGATAACAGCAAGGATATACAGCTTAATTAATTAATTAATTAATTAATTAATTAATTAATTAATTAATTAATTAATTAATTAATTAAACAAGCTTTCGTTCGTATGGACACAACTACCTGAAAAATATAAGGAAAATTTCGACGTTTCGAGCGAGGGCCCTTCGTCTGGAGTTACCTTTATCCCTACCAACGAAAGCTTGTAACACCACAAAACATCGTATTCACCTGAGTACATAACACCGACACAGAGAAAGCTTGCTTGTATTATTGGCACTACCCATACTGGCACAGACAGTTCAAGATCACGATATACAACTTAATCTGATAAGTCATGCATTTTGTGACGTAGAAACCATGACATGTATATCTAACTGACTGAAATATCTCGAAAACGAAGAAACGCAATGAAAAACTGGAACATTTTTTACATAGTTCTTATACATAAGATAATGAAAATTTTCGTTTCATATGCACTTTAAAAATAATTCACACGTTATCATTGAGACAAGATAACAAGAAACGGAAATGGGTTGATTTTGAACAATGAAGTCTGTGAACACCAAAATTATGGATGAGACTAAATGAGATCAACCGAAAATAAAGTCAAAGACCTTTTTATATCACTGACACTAATTATAGAATAAAACGCCCACACCTAAGACTATATATCTTAATATACGCCATCACTTAGTAGTTCCCTGCTGATAAATTTCAAAAGTTCACAAGCAATGCACACATGCAATGATAATTTGGCAAATATAATAGTATATACATGCATGTATCTGACTGCAACCAAAAGCAACAAACGTGAATGTCATTGGCTGATAGAACACATCAGGCTGCATTACAAAATATTCATCAAACGTCAAGTGTTGAACATCCAATCGATTGATTTTTAGACTACTTTTACATGTCCAAATGAAATTTTAGCTCTTCAACCAGCTTTTAATTAAGCACAAGTTGGCAACGTCAATCATTTAAGTGTGATCTCAAGCTAAGCCAAAAAAGGAGTTACGTGTTATATTGAAGACTACGATTGTATTTAAAACGTTTGACAAATAAAAAATTTCGGCCATCCACACCGATGGATGAAGAGTGGAAATTGGCTTACGATATGCATTATATGATTTTTGGGATGGCATTCTTACTTCTCACAGGTTCATCACTTCATGCCTTAATACGTGGTCGTAACATGCCATTATCTCGCATCAATTTCGCAGTTAACGGTGTCTTCGTTATTTTTACTGCGGCTCTTGCTGTTTCATCGCTACATTAACAAAGAAATACACCTATCACCCTTGGCTTTCGAGCGATTTCTATTTAACGTAGGTTTTCCATGTTTAGTAACTGCATTCACTCGGATTTGCTACCTTGGTCTGAAACATGGAGTAAATCACACACAGCTTGTATTTGATTTGGTGGTTGTGCAATGTTACTTATTCGTCATCGCAGAAAGCTTAGAAACAATGCTTCCCTGTGATCAGCATGTGGCACAAAACATCATTTCTTTACTGGCTGTCGGTTCTTTTATGTGTGGACTGTGCGCCATGAATGTTTATGGTAAGATCTCCTATGACGATACTTCGGACGTCTGTACGCAGATGGAAAAATCGAACGTCGTGAGCGTAGATATCATGGAAAGACCAAACTGTAAAACGGAAGGCAATCGTATGGATAAGACGAGAAGTGAGAATAGAGAATCGACCGTCACTACTGTTATATCGTGTATAGGCGGCTCCTGTGCTGTGATGAAGCTGTGGGTTATTTCAGGGATTTTGAAGGTTTGGGACGGCGACATGGATATGGAGAGTTGGTATTCATTGATGTATGCAAACATACTTCGTATGATTGAGTTGGGAAATTCTGCCATGATGTTGTATCTCATACACCGCCGCATCACGCTCAAACGAAAGTCTTTTTTGCTGTAGACTGTTCGTTTTAGCATTACTCAAGCAAAAATAATACTTTTTTGTTATTTTATTTTGCAATGTTGTGGTATATTGTTGTACAATAAAAATAGTTTTTAAGGAATGTTTAATTTTTAAGGAAAAATCCTACATACAGTTGTTAATGGATGTCCACACATTCAGAAACGTACTTTAATAAGTTAAAATTAAGGATTAAATTAGTAAAAATACTTCGTAAAAAAAAATCAGTATTTATTTTCGTATACATATACCTGTGAACAGGCTGTACTTGAGCGCCCAAAATTTGGCTTCACCCAAACATAGGCCTTTAATTATCATTAGGAGTTATCGTTCCAGTTTACATATAGTTCAATGACATAGACTTATGATCGATTATTGCAATAATAAATATACAGTTATGTTTCCACAAACCATGAAAGTTCATGTATGTGTTCATAGGTAAATTTTATACACGACTTGATTTCCATGTATATTATAAGAACATAATTGACAGGCCAACGTGAAACTTAATTTAAAAGTGAACGAAAGGCAATAATTCAAAATTTTAGTTGCATTATCGGGCATTCTAGGGTTTAAATATTTACGTTTTGTCAGGGCAGCACTTCCCAAGTTCCCCGAACTCCCTAGTAGATTTAGCATCATATTCCACTATGCTAATAATATGTGCTTTCGAAAGAAACGTCTGCTACTTGAACATACTCGTCGAAACACTGCTTTTAGGTAATGTAAAACGTAAGTTAAAATCAGGTAATTTGATCCCAACCCAACCCCCCCCCCTCCTGCCAAAACTTTGCTATGTCCCTGATTACTGGTGTGTGGGATTTACGGCTCATTGGCAAACCAAAATTCAAAAATTTTTGAATTAATTTTTTCCTCTCATTCTCATATTGAAATACGTAGATTCGTAAGGCTAAAACTGGAATGTTACTGTATTCTCTAAACTATTCCAAATTGTGTTTCTAATTAATGAATTAGGTAATTACATTGTGCCTAATGTCTAATTAGCCTGATTCAAATTTTTGTGGGAAGACTTGTCACTGGGGCATTCAGTCAGATTTTGCACAAACGTTTCCATGCAAATACTTGTTACCATCCCTATAATGGAGCAACGGACATTGTCATAAAGAATTCTAAACCACGTAACGCAACCAGAAGTTGTATTTATATTGTATTATATCCAGGGGCGCCGGAGCCACGGGGGCAGCGGGGGCAACTGCCCCCGTTGCCCAAACATTGCGGGAGAAGCACGGGGGCAACTGGTTGCCCTTTTTGCCAGAACTGCACCTCGAAATTTGTGCATTATTCACAGCAATTGGAATTTAGAACTATTTTTAAGCAATGTTTAAAGATGCAATACAGTCCGTATGTAAACAAAGGATTTGTTTACATTTCGGTATCCAAAATATAGAATTTTATTCGACAACTATATATATTTTCATGATTCTAGCGTATAATAAATTATCAAGACACAACAATCAAGCTTTGCAAGAACATAAAATGAAATAAAAACCTAAATAAACTGTTTGTATAATAAGAAGAGGGCTCCTTTGTTCACATACGCAGATCTGACTGTACAGCACCTTTAAGCAATCTTTGCTTAATTTTAACCAGTTGTAGTAAAATTAATGCTAAAAAGTCTGCGAATCCGTGGCATGAAGCTTGTATGGTCACGTGAATTTCCCAAGAAAAGTTGGGACGAATTGTGATTGGTTGAACTATAATTATGCAGAATTAATGTTAATTCATCGGATATTGCGTTCGCAACGCCGCGTTGGGCTGTTCAAAATTGACCGTTTCCAGGGTCAAATGACAATGTTTATTATAGTTGTATTTATAGAAATGTGGCGGATAAACAAGAAAGGCCGTTGTTTTCAAAACGGAAAGCCCATTTCGCCAAACAGAAGATGCAATATTATAGACGAAATCAAATTTAAGGGAGGCAATAAAGATACAGGTATTTTCATGGGGAGTTTTGCTGATTTATATAGCGAATAAGTTTGAAGTCTCGAATGGTTGTAAAATCTCGATTAGCTGTAATACCTGTATCTTTATTGCCCCCCTTAAATTTGATTTCGTCTATAATATTACATCTTCTGTTTGGCGAAATGGGCTTTCCGTTTTGAAAACAACGGCCTTTCTTGTTTATCCGCCACACTTCTATAAATACAACTGTAATAAACATTGTCATTTGACCTTGGAAACGGTCAATGTTGAACAGCCCAACGCGTGTTGCGAACGCAATATCCGATGAATTAACATTAATTCTGCATAATTATAGTTCATCCAATCACAAGTCGTCCCAACTTTTCTCGGGAAATCCACGTGACCATACAAGCTTCATGCCACGGATTCGCAGACTATATATGTCATTATATAGTCTGCGCGCAGGCTACCAATATACGTCTGTTTACTGATTTTATTTTGAGCCTTTAGCACCGTATAACGAATAGCTAAAAATCGATCAACATTTCGAAGTTTGCGATCCATAATAGCCAGAAGTAATCGAGTATCCATATAGTAAAGTTTTAACAAATATTGCTGCCCAGAAAAATGATGGCTGAGAAGCAAGTGCCCTTTTGAAATGGCTGCCCCCGCCGCTTCACATTGCTTCCGGCGCCCCTGATTATATCCTGCAATAGACAATATTTGGCTAACGTTTATACACAATTCACAAGTTTAGATAACTCGCATGCCTAGTTACTATCGTTCTAGTCTACAAAAGCGTAGAATAGAACAGAGGTAACTAAACTTTAATTTAGAATTATGTACACGAGTGAATAACTCTTATACATAATTCTATAATGCTTAGTTATACCATTGTTCTATTGAATGCTACTGTGAACTAGAACAATGGAACATTAAATTATCTCCGAGCCAACGGCGTGAAGCGCAGTTCCGGGCGTTCATGTAAGTCCGGGGCGAGGGTACTAATTCCGCCCGGCTAGTTACCCCCGGGGAAAGGTAAGCATTAGCGAAGTCTAAGTTCATCAATGATCGCGAGCGTTTCACTGGTTTCCGTGCGTTGTTGGGTCAGTGGTTTGGGTGGGTGGCACCACTGAGCTTAGCTCAGTGGGTGGCACTGGTGGGTGAACATTACCTATAATAACATACCTAACATATATATGTTTGGGAAATTGATAATTTTGTAATTAAAAGTGATATTTTTAGGGGATTTTTCATTTGTAAAAGTATTCTTAATAAAATTATCGTGTTACCATGACAATACTTTAAATATTTATGTTCGGGAAATACAATGGTTTTGTCAGCAAGGCGAGGGTTTCTGCGTGCATGTATTTTCTAGTCTAAAGGGTTGCAACGATGTAGCGCAATTAACCAAATTTGTCTCAATGATAATTAATGAACAAAACGCAAAGCAAACCAGCATAACCAGCAACCTACATTGTCACAGCCATAGTCAGACAAAACCAGCTAAATAAGTTAAGCGAATGCTCTATAAAAGTAGATAGTTGAAGTATTTATTGACCTTGATTTAACTATAAATACACATCGAAGTAGGTTAGGTGTCTTGTAAGGTGCTTTTATGGATCGACATGTAAATCATGCATGCATGTTGATTTTACATCTCGTTAACAATAGGTATTGGCAATGAATTTTGAGTATGTGTAGATTGTAAGAATTCCGTAGTCATTTCACAACATTTTTATAGAGCGTTTGCACATGACGTCACAGCCGCCATGTTGGTATTCCAATTCAAAGAAATTTTAATTAGACTCTTTTGTCTGGAACATCAACATGGCCGCCATGGCTTTTGTTGAGTTGGTCCCTGGGGAATGAGTGCAAACGCTCTATAACTTTTCTTTGGCTCTAGAAGATATTTCAATTTATTTGAAATGTAAATGATCATGTTTCAAACGGGTAAAGTTTTTGATAGTCCACAGGACTTAATTAAAAGTTCGTAATTTTCTATATGCAAGAATCGTCGACATAGTCTTGAACGATTTAATCTATTTTGAACAGTGAGCGATATGAGTTTAGCGTCTTTAAAAAAGTATTTTACCCACTAGTGAGTGACGTCTAGATCATATTTCATTGCATACTCTACAAATTAACGTATCTCAAGAGTAAAAGGAGATGAAGAAAAATTGTAACAACTATTTTACGCTTCAACGAGTTCTTAATTCAATCTAAATCGACCCAGATTTCCTCGCTATTACTTTTGAATTTATTCCACATTCCCAGGCATCTCGTCTAATCTATTTAAATTTTAGATTTTAAAAATGGAATTCTTCACAGAAGACATTTCAATTTTCAGCAAAACTACAAATATTTTACAGCTTTTACTATACGTTTCATCTCTCAACATATCTCATTGGAAACACATTGGTATATACTTCAAAAACTCATTAATAATTCATGAAGCAATTATCCAATCTTGAGTAAGAAATTAGTCACGTGCATACGTCTTTATACCAGCTAAAGAACACTTTAACAAAAGACCATTGTTATGCAAACTATATAAAGGTTTTTATATAAAGATTTTTACATAAAGATTTTTATATAAAGATTTTTATATAAAGATTTGACTTATTATGCATGCGTTTTTGAAGTCATTTAAAAAACTCGCGGGTCGTGTTTTATTAGGTCTAAAGCCACTCGCGCTGCGCGCTCGTGGCTTTAAACCTAATAAAACACTCCTGCTTGTTTTTTAAATAGTACATTAAAAGCTATAATAGGTCTGTATTTAATACAAAAGTATATTGGGTTTGAAAAATTGCTTGGTTGTTACTATCATTCATCGCTTTTTTTCTCTCTAACTGGAGTTCACACCTGACTGTATCTAAGCACTTTTAAGTATTCTATATCTCCTAATCTGCAGGTTCGTTAAATCGCTTTTGCATATTTTGTTTTAAACAGCTGTACGATTCCAAAAAAGGTAACAGTGAACCAACACGTTATCGAAAGAAATATGGGAAGGAAATGATGCCTTTTTTGAACAAATTGGAAGAGAAAACGACAATATCATGCCCATGGTTTGCATT